CGCGGAGCCCGGCTCTCCCGGCGGCCAGGGGCCGACACAGGGCTCCCGGGAACGCCGGCCCGTCCGTTTCTGGGTCGTGGCACTGCTCCCGGCAGAACCCCCCTCGCTTGAGGCGGCTGCGCCTCTCCGGCGGCACAGCGCTGCTGTAGCACCGTCTGCGCTCTCTGCGAGGCACGTTTATTTATGACACTCATGATCGAAAATGAAAACACACGAAACAGATAATGTGGCCGGCACATTACAGGTAGAGGTATAAAGTCATAAAGATACTCTTTAAACAAACAGGCTGCTGTTTTCATAGAGTCATAGAATAGAATAATAGAATCACAGAACGGTTACAGTTGGAAGGAACCTTGAAGCTCATCCAGTCCACCCCCTGCCCTGGGCAGGGCCACCTCCCCCCAGCCCAGGTTGCTCCAAGCCCCGTCCAACCTGGCCTTGAACACCTCCAGGGATGGGGCAGCCACAGCTTCTCGGGGCAACCTGCCCCAGGGGATCACCCCCCTCACAGCAAAGAATGTCCTCCTAATGTCTAAGTTAAATCTATGCTATTTCAGTTTAAAACGGTTCCCCCTCATCCCACGGCTCCCCTCCCTGATCCAGAGTCCCTCCCCAGCTCTCCTGGAGCCCCTTTAGGCACTGGAAGGGGCTCTGAGCTCTCCCCTTTTTGGCCTTCTCTTCTCCAGGCTGAACCCCCCCAACTCTCCCAGCCTGTCCTCCCAGCAGAGGGGCTCCAGCCCTCCCAGCATCTCCGGGGCCTCCTCTGGCCCCACTTCAACAGGTCCATGTCCTTCTGCTGTTGGGGGCTCCAGAGCTGGACGCAATATTCCAGATGGGGTCTCCCCAGAGCGGAGCAGAGGGGCAGAACCCCCTCCCTCGCCCTGCTGGCCGCGCTGCTGGGGATGCAGCCCAGGATGTGGTTGCAAAAAATGGCAGAGTGCCCGTCAAAACTGTTTTGATCTGGTGCTGGTTAAGTTCCGTAACAGCTCCGTGGTTTCAGTGATTTGAGGCTTCGTTTGCCTTAGAGACAGTAAGTCTGTGGCAGGGTACATGCTAATTGAGCGCAGGGGCTAAGGGGCGAGACGTGCTGGGGGTCACCCGGGCAATAAACGGCACCCGGAGAAAAGCAGGACACTGCTGCTGCTGTTGGAAGCTTGATGCCGCGCTAGCAGCCATTGAACACTGCTACCACACCGGACGGCAGCGGGAGCGCACACCACCAGACCATCACTTGCTCAGGGCAGTTGCTGAGCTTGAACCACAGCAGCCACTGCCAGCTAAAGTTTTGGGGCGCAACGGTTGGTGTACGTCTGCTGAGCGTGGGAAAGGGGTGTCTCGCCTGGCAGCAGTGTCCTCCCTCAGAGGGCAGAAGGGGAGTGGGGCTGGAGCGTCGAGGGGAAAGGAAGTCAGCGTTGGGATGTACCGGCAGAGTGGCAGTGGGAAAAGGAGGGGAGCTGCCGAAGCATGTGGCCGTGTGCTGCGCAGCAGAAGGCAGCGTCCTCAGCTACCGTAGTTACAAAGCCTACTGAAGCTGCAAGGGATTGATATGAAAAACACACCCACTGGTAAAGGTTATCCCTAGTAAGAAACAGCATACATTCCCAAACTGTAATACTTCCCATTTAAAGTAGCAAAGAGATTTAAAGTATATCGCAGCAACTGGCTGCTCCTCTGATCCCTCACATAGTCAGTCTTCTCAGTGCCATCAGAGAGGATTTTGAGGGAGGGAGGGAAAATAGGGCAACACAAATGCACCTTGCAATTTTTAAGGTGCAAGACTGTGTCTGCTCAGACACTTTGAAAACCTCTCTTCAGTCCGCTATGTTGGCATTTTGTTCAAATCTTTTGGCATTTTTTCATCTTCAGAGCAGGCTTCTTCACATTCTGCAGATGTGAAGATTAAGGAAAGTTCCTTGTTCGTGGGGCAAGTTCCTCCTGCTTTGCCTCAATGAAGGAAATTTACAACTTATGTCAATATCATTCTCTTTCCTTGGGAGAATTTCAGGTTGAGCAGGGATACCGCACTCGCAGCATGAGGCATCTGTAATTCAGCTTTGTTGTAGCATCCAAAATTACAAGCTTTCAGCGTCTGCTTTAGAAGTACCTAAGAATAAGGAAAACAAAACAGGTTCATTACTCAGGGTTATTGTTGAAAACAAAAACAGTAGAGGCAAGTGCTGACCTCAGAAATTGAGTGGGTAAAAATTATACTGAAATGTTTCAGCAAAGCCAGCAGATCTGGAAACAGTTTCAGTCTTCCTGTACCAATTTTAAAACAATAAAGATTAACTGAATCAAAAAGCAGATTCAAAACTGGTGAAAGGAAATTAATTAGTTAATTCCTCTTTATCCATAAAGCAGGCATGTCACGAAAAGCAGCAACAATGGCTTTCCTACAAATGATCCTCAAGACTAAGGTGGAGAAATCTCTTCTACAGTTAAGAGGGAGTTCAGTTGTCAGTCTCTTTCTGAAGGCTCCTCTAGACCAAAGTGTGACTGTGGTCTCAGTTGTTTCTGCTTAAGGCTACCGTGGCCCGTTGACTGTGAATAGAAGTGAAATACCTAAGTAAAACTGTCTCAGAAAGTCTGCAGTAACACCAAGACATTAATTAGAGAATGTTTGAATAGATACCTGCATTGGATATACCATCAAAGACCTCTAGTCTTCTAATGGACTAGCTTCCTTGTCTTCCGTAACCTTCAGATTCTCCTTTTCTGTACTGTTATAAAGAAAGGGGGAAAAAAGCCCAAATCCGTGTCAGAGATCCTGAGCAGCAGTCATGTTCATACGTAACATGTAAGAAGAAGTTATGTGATGAGATAATAAGCATCCTACATCCATGGTGACTGCAACGTCACGTTCACGGAGGAAAGAACAGGTGATCATCTGCCAACTACCACCACGACAGCCGGGTCCTTCTCTGAGTGAGGAGCCACCGTGAAGGGCAAGAGCAAAATGAGACTTTTGAGTCTCCAGCGCACCCTCATCCTGGGGGTCTGCTCTGACTGCAGGTAAGCAGCCAATTATTGCTAATTGTGCTGGCAGTGTTGCATTGTAGGCGCTTAGTGTAGGGTCCAAGCCAAGGATTCAGAATAGCTACAAAGATACATTTGACAAGCTTTCCCAGAAGCCTTTCTCTGTCTCCTCTGTGCTTACAGTTCAGTATCTGCCACCTCGATCCTCTTCTCTTGCGCTTTCTTCCGATGGTGTCGACAGATAATCACAACCGTCACCACAATGATCATCAGAACACAAGCAGACCCAATGGCCACCACCAGGAAGTGGATTTCTGAGAAATGCACTGCATGGAGAGAAACGGACAAATGAACAAGAGGGACGCCCAGAGGGCTCTTGGCATGAGGCTGGGAACCTCTGTCCGTGAATATAACCTTTCCTCAGGCTCCTTTTTCCTTCATATCCGAGCATGCAGCTACCCTCATGCTTTCTCTTTACAACCCCTTTTCTTCCATACATTCTCTCAAATGTGGAGGAGGACCTGGCAACGCTTTGCGCTGGCTAAATTCACGACTGGTGGGGTTCTTGGTCTCTTACCTTTCTGCACAACTCTGAGTCGCACTTCACCAATTGTGCCACCAACATCTGGTGGGTTCTTCACCTGGCAGGTGAATGTCCCGTTGTCAGTGGGCTGCAAATTCCAGATCATGATGGAAACATCGTTACGCTCAATATTCCCATCCCAGGTGACTCGCTCTTTAAACCGTCCAGCAGGCAGCTTGTAGGGCTCCTTGAGGTAATAAAATACCTATAGGAAAGAGAGGAAGCTGTCATTCCCACGCACTGTGCGGTCTCTGCAATGGAAGCAGCACGTGAAAGTGGAGTGGCACTGGCTGAGGCACATGGCCTGAGCTGAGGACGGCTGTGTCAGCCTGGTCCCTCTCAGATGAGCTCTGAGGCCATTTCAAAAGACAGTGCCTTCGCTCCAGCAGCCATGCAAGCTCCGTCCTGCCCAGACCCAAGGCCTCCTTAGGTTCAGCTGTCTTTCAGTTGAACCGCTTGCCCTGCCACGTTGGCCAAGGCAAAACAGTCTGTAAGTCGTGTCAGGTGCGGGATGGCAGCTAAGACAAAGGGTTCAGCTGCGGTGTAAGCAGGTACGGTTTCATCAGGCCCAAAACTAAA